ACAGACGATTTCCGAGGACACATCTATCTGGTTCCAGACACGTTTGAAAATCTCAAAAACACGTGGATCATAGGTAATCGACCACGTTAATCATCGCGGTGATGTTTGTTTCATTCTCCACTCAACTAGAACGTCAACAAAACCAAATTAGATACCAGACCAGAGGTATCAGTAATAATCAAGGTCGCAGAAAATTGGTAGAATATACGTTATTGTAGATCCAAACTAAGGTATTTTCCACCGTCGAATGAGCACGCAATGAGAATTTAATATTTTAGATGTTGAGAATTCAGGAAATAATTAGCAGAAATCATAGAATGAAACAAACATCACCGCGATGATCCACGTGTTTTTCAGATTTCCAAACGTTTCTGAAACCAGACAGATGTGTCCTCGGAAATCGTCTGTATGTCCGAAACCAAAGGAGACAAAGGTCTGGGCCTTGTGTAGTTTTGAGGAGTGATATCTTGGCTATCGACTGTTATTATTTGAGATTAGATTTCATAGTGTGGTTTGGAAACGGTAAGCATTCAGATTTTGTCTCGAATGGTACACCATGGTAAATCTTATTGGGAGTCCTGACTTTTCATAGGTTTACGTCCCAAAGTGTCTGGTTTTAGAATCTGAAAACTGAAGAATAATACTTCGGATCAATGTAATTTTAATGAGTTATAGTGCGTGTATAGTGTGTTTATCTTTTGCAGTCGGGTGTTTGTTCCGTTGATGGATCCCAAGATCCACTTGGCTATGGTCTATTACTGTTCATCAGCATCATTATGGTAGACTAGTCTCTTACACATATATATATAGTAAGAGGAAAACTTAGAAAATTTTCTAAGGGAATGTATCGTATATCTCGTAAGGAAAGACATGCTATTTATAACGAGTTTGTCATGCAAAACAAAAGGGTGACTGAAAATTACCGTTCTAACGCACTGGAACGCTTACGCATTTAGTGAGTTATCGTTGAATGAGTTTTAACGAGTTAAAATCTACTCTAACCCGTTTAAACGAGTTAAGATAAACTTTTATCCAGGAATGCACACGTATTCTTTATTTTTAAACGCGTTTACACCGTATATCATCCATTTTTGGAAGACTTGAATGCGTGGAAACTCATTAAATTTCCTAGAACCATATTTAACCGGATCTGTCTCGTTACAGCACTGAAGAAATGTTAGCACGCGTCATATTTGAAAATTTAATCCGTTCAAACACAATTTTCTCAAAAACGTTTTTTCAACGCATGCTAACCCGCGTTAGGGTATCAAAATTGTTTCATGGGTAATAAATCAAACGACTTTTGATCACTGCATTGAGTACTGTAACAAAATTGATGAATTTTTCCATCAAAGATAATTCGAAAAAAACTTTCAGCAAATGTTTTGAAACAAATTTATTGTGCGTGGGTAATCATGTCTACTGGCTCAAATATTTGCTGAAGTGAAAACTTGATTACCTCTAGTCCGTGGAGTTTTACTTGCAAATCTGGTTACTTCTGGTATGCCCTAAGTAATATTAGGTGAAAATAGCCTGAAAATCCTAATATTTGTAAAACTCGCTTTTCGGCAGACTTTTAAAATTTTTCTAAAAGTAAATATTGTCACAAGGCTCAGCATGGTCGATTATCCATAGTTCATCCGTCTTCAAGACTTTCAGTGGTCATTAGGTGCCAGTCCTGAACTCGCAGGCCCTGAATACAGCGCTCGAACCTCGGAAACTCATGGTCTCCCTTGACTCCTATTTTGAAGAGCATACTCCACGCTATTGATCCGTAAAACAAATCAATACAGCCCTATTGGAGGTTTTTTAAACACGCCCTAGTTTTCCAAAGATCTTCCTGAAAGCCTGTTTCAGAAAACCTCTTCTGGAAAACGTTTGGTTATGAAAATATGTCCGCAAGTCTCTTCTTTGTCGAATGGTGAAAACCAGAACTCTCTAGCTCTTTTCTATCAAAAGTTAGTCAAAAAACAGTCATATACCATTCCTTTTCTGGATGGACAATATCTGCGCATGAAAAGAAATCAATACTTTTCTATCTTACGTTTTGGATTTATGTAATAGTTTTCCAAAGACCTCATCGAAAACCAGTTTTTGAAATTTATTTTCAGAATATTTCTGCTTATGGAAAGGAATGCTGCTGGAATTCTTATACATATGAAAGCTACTATACCGTACCTACCGAACAATGTCAGTTTGCAATTTCAAGTTGCATGAATTCATAGAAACATGAATGTCAAGCTCAATGCACAAACGGCGAAGATAGGGGAATCATTTTTTTTCTCCTTTGCATGTTCTGGTCGATCTGCATTTATTGGTGCAGTTTTTAGATAACGGTCATGAATGAACACCTCACACGTAACCTGGTAATGGTTCGATGGAATTACGCATATATGTTTGACAAACATCAATAGTATCAGGTATATAGCATCTTTTAATGACGGATCCGGAAAACCAAATAGAAAAGAAGCACAAAAGTATGTGCGCAGCATTCACAATCAGCAAAAAAATAGTCTACAAGCCTAGAAGACGATCAAGGTCTGTATATCGATTCAACATTCGTCCATAATAATATCTTGGATATAATCTTGACGTATTATAACGCCAATAAGAAGAATAGGGATAATCATAATCGTAATAATAGTAATAATAAAACGGACGATACCAATATCGATCATACGGATAGTAATAGTAGGATGGATAATAGTCTGAATAAAACGGTGTTATATAACGATTACCAACGTAATAATCAGGATCATGTGTACTGTACGTACTATGTTGTGGTCGGCGTCGTCCTGCTATTAAATGATCAAATCTTCCAACAGATTGTGATCGTCTCCACCGATCATATGCATTATTAGTGGGCTTGTTGAAACGAGCACCAGATGGGTAATCATCTGAACGACGCTCGACTGAATATGAACGTTCATAAACAGATGGAGTTAATTCATGGTCTGGTGTATAGTCACGATGACGACTAAGACTACGAGTACGTCTTAACATTGTGACAGTGCACACTCTGTTTATCTGTGTTTATAAAATAAGGATACAAACTTCCCGGTATACTTCCACACTTATATATTTTTCTTCTATACGCCCCTTTGATGATCTGTTAACAGCTGTCATTTATTTTCACCACAAAAATTGTTGTAGGTTTTTTCTTCTCTTGTGTTGTTTTATTATGTCTTTGTGTATCACTTAAAACCACAGACATATAATATATATTTTCTTGTTCTTTATAACAACGTTCTACTACTACTAAAACAACCAAGTGAAGGAAAGGAAGCGGAGAAAATATATTAAGCGATAACATGTAAAAAGGATAATATACATAAACAAGTTGTTTCTGTTGCTTTTTTGGAAATGTTTTTTGCTGGGAAAGAAGCCAAAATACATAAGATGGTGATACTGAAAACGACTTTAATATTTTTCTAATCTGCAAGGTTTACACTCATAAACAATAAAATATATGGGTCTATTATATGTACCCTCAGAAAAAGGAAAAGAAAACTATGCAAAAATACTGCTTCTACGCTTATTCATCGTTTTGTATTGTGTGGGAAAGTCAGATAAAAGATGGTAGAAAACAATTTTTTTAATACTTTTTTCTCAGTCTACGACTCACCAGCAGGATGGTACCGTGACACAACAATACCGTGAACGACATTACCGCGAAAACAACATTACTGCGAAGACTCCTTTATTAGAAAAGAAGAATAAATGAGCCTGGTTTTGTATTTTATATATCATGTCGCGAGAGATGGGGAGGGGAAAGGGCATTGTGAGAGTGAGTTCGAAAAGTAGTTTCACACAAAACATATTTTCATGATGCGCTACTAGATATTTGTGACTGTGTGAGAGAATGACTAGTCACCACTTAACGTCAGTTAAGTTTGAAAACATGATGATAGCGAGGAACTGCTAAATTATTGCTAACAATTGTACTGTCAAGCAAGGTTTCGGTTAGACACAACACTACCGGTTTATACAAAGGACAGATAAGCACATACACTATCCATACGTGATGGTAAACTTCTTATACTCATAGATACAAAAAATTTCACTATCACGCACGTTTCTGTTCGAATTTATTATGGTAGAAAAAAAATATCAATCACGCCATTAACGTCCACACAGAGCTTAGTATTACTTACATAGTTTGATAGAAAGGAGAGATAGTAGTAAAAAAAGAAAAAGTTAAGAAAGAAAAAAAGAAAGGAAAGTTAGAAAAAATGATTCTTGACTAAAGTTCATGCGTGGTCACCACTAGATTTACTCATTAAATGCATCATCAACATCCATCACAGAACTGAGCTTCTTGTATTTACCTTTAGCCAGATACAGCAAAACATTTCCATTACGTGTAAATATACGTTTTTTATGCATTTTAGTTTTGCATAAAGATAAATCTGATTGTTATACTGTAACAAATGTTCATTTATAAAAATATTTTTCAGTTCATCGATTCCACGAAGTTTCTTTCTTAATGAATAAAACCCATTTCCATCAGTAATTCGCAGGAAGTCAACTATTATTGCCTGACGCATTTTATTTTGAGAATTTTTTGAAGGAAGCAGTCTGTGAATTGCATTTTCAATTGTAAACCAACTTTTGACATTAAATCAATCACGATAGCAGTCACATTTTCATCTCTTTGAAATGAAACACCATAAATAAACAAATTTTTTCTTTCTGTTATAAAATCTCTGTTGAATCATTGGATCCGGATAAAGATTTACCTTATTCACTATTTAAAAATATTGTCGTAAGTAATCCGACAACAGAGAAACGACTTTTCATTTTGAACAAAGAACCGTTACGTTTACGATCGATGTTCTGGATGATAAACAATAACAAAAAAAAGTCCAAATGCAATTAAATTTCTTTGGACATTACAATGAGCTGCCTTATACACTTGTGTATACTTTGAAAGGAAAAGACGAAATTTTTTTCTTGTTCTATAATCCAATCGCGTATTTAATAAACTAGGAAAAAGTTGACAATAAAAATAAAGCCGTATATCACCACTCAATCGGCTAATACCACCCACAATACCAACGCTCGCTCCACGATTGTTATTTATTTATCCATGAATGAGGTAAAACTTGATATCAATTACAAATGTACTTCACTGTCATCAATTCTTCATTTTTAGATGTCACCATTTCATCTATTAAAACTATAACAATGTCAACTAAACATAATTTCCCTTGTTTATCCATTGTTTTCGGATATTTAAACCACACATTAATTTAGGTATGGATTTAAGTGATCAGTAAAATAGATGGTATGATCAGTCGGAAAACATATTATAAAATCAGTTGATTGAATGAATGATCAGTAATATATTGAAGTACCAGTAAACTATTTAAATGATCAGTTGTTAAATGAAAAGGTTATGTAATAAAGTTTTAATATAAGTAAATAAAATAGAATAACAGTCAATTAAATAAAAGAATAACAAACAAAAAGGCCAATCAATCATTGATTTTTTAAATTATTTTGATAATGAATGGATCAAATTAAATAATGGTTGGTATGAGGGCATCCAACTTTATACGCAATGCCCTAGAGGCAACGAATAAAGTAATAAAATATGACGGTACATTTAGAGAACGTCATGTGATATCGAGATTTTTAGTAATAGCGGCAAATATAATTAATAATTGGTCCATTGAACGTGATCCATCATCAATAAATGCAAAACCTTTTTCAGTTGAACCACCAATATGTTTAAATTTATGGACATCAGCTTATCAATGGGCAAAAACAACAAAAGATGTTGTATGTCTTCAAAATGATGTTTTCAAGCAATATTATATACCAGCTCGTAATTTAGAATTTATATCACAAGCTGATTTAAATAAATATATAAAAAAGAATGGACAACCTTCAACCAGTTCAAAAAGATTTTTGATATTTGGAAGAAGCTAAAAAGGATTTAGATTGAAAAACATCGACATGCACCTGCCCAGCTTTCCTCAAAAACTACATATGCAAGCATATCGCCGGAATGGGGATTCGATTAAAGCTTTGGAAACCGCCACCTGCAGCAAAGACTGTGCCGATTGGTCAAAAGGGGGCGACGACCACCAAAAGCAAAATGTGCTTTGCTAATGCAATAATTTTTTTCTCATTTCAATCTTTTTTCTCTCACTCTTTATTATACTTTACAAATAATTTTCATCTTTTCTACTGATAGAATCTGTTTTATTTACTTACCAAATTTTCATTTTTTACTTATCAAATTCTTTTTTTTCACTGGTAAAAATGATAATTCTTTACTGTTATTCTCTATATTAAACTGATCATATTCTCATTATTTACTGATAATCTTAGTACTGATCATTGAACAACTTAACTGATCATTTATATACTTTTTTACTGATGATTTCATCTATTTTATAAATCAAATATTTTGTTGCGATTAATTTATCACACGAAGCAAATATGTAAACACAGATTTTTAGACTAGATCATATATGTGTCGAGCAGACTATGCTTAAATGAGTCAAGCTGAACAAAATTGGCAAGAATTCGATCAAATTTAAAATATTGTTTGAGAACAAAAAATGATTAAACATTGTTTAAATTTGAGGGCAATGAATTCGACAATAAGAGATCATCATTTTTTAAGAGCATAGCCTCATAATTTAAATACAATATAAAATGTATAAAATATAGAATGTTCTATTTTTTGCTGACGTATGGAAAAAGAGATAAGGTTTGTTTCGTTTTTCTGTTATTATCCTTCCTAGATTCTTGTTTGAGAACGGCTATTCAAGGTCAGAATATCACAAAATGAATATGCTTGAAAAATTTTAATCCAAAATTGTTCACTCTGAAAATCTGATTCGATGGAGTTATCAAAGGCGACTATGCTGTTTTGACCACAAAACGGGATATATGTAGGTTTGTAGAGGAACATTTCCGTTATCTAGTGGTGTATATTATCGAATTCTGTTGCGTACCATGAGAGAAAATTAAAGATAATCCTTCTTTTTTTAGACTCTTTTAGAATTTTTTTTTATTTTTGAGTTAAATGTTCTGCATTATAGAGTAAAGTGTCCTCTACAAAGCAAGACCGCTTCCAGCTTTCCAAGACCTTCCGTTGAGGAGATACAAATTTTTTAAAGTTTGTTACTTTACGTTGAAAAAAACCTACTTTTTTACTTGCGAAACGTTTTTCTCTTCCATTCAGTAGTTGATAAATTTTTGAAACAGCCAGGCTTATAAAGTAAAGGTTTCTTTACAAAATGAGATGTCTCCCAGCTCTCCATTATGTTTTTTGATAGAGTTATGATCATTTTCGACGGTATTTCATAAATGTGACTTTTTCAAAGACTTCCAACAAAAGGATCATAACTCTATCAGAAAACATGATGAAAAGTTAGGATACATCTAATTTTGTGGGGAAATCTTTACTCTACCAGACTGACTGTTTCAAAAGTTTATCAAGTACTGAACGAAAGAGGAAAGAGTTTCGAAAGTAAGAAACTAGGGTTTTTTGAAAATAAATTAACAAACTTTAAAAAATTTGTATCTCCTCAACGAAAGGTCTTAGAGAGCTGGAAGTGGTCTTGTTTTGTAGAGGACACTTTACTCTATAATGTACAATATTTAACTCAAAAATAAAAAATATTCTAAAAAAGTGTAAAAAGAGAGGGATTATCTTTAATTTTCTCTCACGGTACACAACAGAATTTGATAATATATATACCACTAGATAGAGGAAGTCTTCCTGTACAAACCTACATATATCCCGTTCTGGGGTCAAAAATTACCATGAAAGTCATAGTCGCCTTTCTACAAAAAGAGGTGAGTCAACTTAGAAAAAATGAAGTTTTCGTATTTAAATTTGGTTTAAGCTTAAATCTTGAATTAGAACAAAATCGAGAATATAAATGCCCTAAAGTTATCAGGACACAAAATCAATCATTATACGAAGCTAGGATCGAACACACGAACTTGATCTTTGCAGACGAACTGCAAAAAACAACTTCGCTGTTCTTTCCTCTATTCTGCACAATGATTAAGGTTATGCAATGACTCGATGTTATCCTTCAATGTATATTTTTTTGTTAAGATTTTTGTGTTTTCTTTTTGATGCTGAATTTTACACTCAATTGATTTTTTTTCATTCGAAATATAATTTGCTATGTACACGAAACAAAACAAGATGAAAAGAAACTATGGCATGCTGTGTGTTTTTTTTAACTTTAGAAAAAGAGTATAAAGTTATTATTATTATTACTACCTGACTGAAAATAAGAAAACTGATCGTTAAAAAAAGGTTTTTATTACATATAATTTTATTCTGAAGAGAGAGGTAGGTCATCAAAATGATTTCATTGCGAATGTTAAGTCACCGAAGTAAGTGTCTGATACAAAGAGGGAATGGATCATGTCATATAATGGCTCATTTGTTATGCAGCGATTATCCTGAAGGATGGAGTCTTTCCTTCGGATATCCACTGACTCGAAAAACATGACTATTATAGGCAGCATCTTAAAAAGGTTTTGCAATTAATTTTTAGATGGCCCAATTTTTGAAAAATTTCATTGGTGGAAAAGAAGGTGGACAGCAACAACACCCGTACGGAAGTCAACAACATTCACAAGGGTACCCTCAGTACGGTGCAGGTCAGCAACAGTACGGCGGAGGCCAGCAGCAGTACGGTGGAGGCCAGCCTCCTTTCCAGGGACAGCAGCCACCGTTCGGACACGACCAGCAAGGCCATGGCTACGGAGGACTACAACCACCTCAGCAGCAGCAATTCCATGGTGGCAACAACCAACCTCAAGGTGGCTACAATCAGCCTCCACCTCAGTATGGTTATGATCAACTGCAGCCTCACTATGAGCAGAGAGAGGGCATACACCATCAGGGGGGTTATCACCAAGGAGAAGGTCATCGACATTCGCCACAACATTTCGAAGAAGAAAGGCACCATCGCAGAGAAGAGCATGGTAGTCATTCGCCTCATTCCAGCTCCGAAGAACGGCGACACCATGGGCACCATCATGGACACGGACACCATGGGCCCCATCAGGAGCAGGGACACGGACACCACGAAGGGCACCACTCACCTCATTTCGAAGGAAAACATGAACATCATCATAAAAGAGATGAATGGTAAACTATATAAACTGACTTTCGAATAAAATAATTAAAGAACGATTTCCACATTTACTCCCTTGACTGTAAGTCTAGAAGACCATACAACACCCTTGTAAACATGATATCCAAACCAGGCTTCAACGATTACACGTTTTTTATAATTAACAAGTCAAAGAAATCTACTACTGGAATCGAGCTACATTTTTTACCTTCGGCTTTCTCATGCCAGAAACAATTAAAACTTTGAGGGATCCACACCGTATGTTTAAAAAAATTTGATTGTAAATTAATTTGATCGTTCTTTCCTGTTTTATTGTTATTGAATGTGTTTATTTAACACTACATTTTCTTTTAGTTAAATATTGTTTAATCGACAACTTGGAAACAAACATTTATCCGTAAACAAATAATCATTTCGGCGGCACTGCTAATATTACTGTGAATGATATTGTTTTTAAAAATTTCTAGCAAAAATATAAATATTTATTGGCAAAAAATTCCTAAACAAACACTCATCTGATATTTTTTGTTCTTATAGGACAGTTGTTTTCCTGTGATAACAGGTCTCTTTTTTATTTTTGAAAGTGAAGTGAAAACACTTCCGAAGAGAAAAAATACACATGAAAACAAAGAACTAAAGTGATGAGTGTTTGAATGATAAAGACAAAGAGTTTTACGTTTTATTCTAACTTCAATTACATATAAAAAAAATTGATCGGTTCGGTTCGATTCGATTCGGTTGCAGAAAAACACTAACCGATCCCACCTTTGCTACGTAATGCATTCAACGGTCTTCCTAGGAAAGCTCACGTCAGTCTGTCTGCGAGGCATTTCTTCTAAATTACACAAAAATAAAATAGGAATTTTCTATTTTTAAAAAGTTTATTTAATCGTTTTTTCCCAATTCCGAGAACGGAAAAATAACATATTTTGTTCAGTTTTCTTTGCTCGTTCGTCTCATTCATAATTCAACTAGAATAAAGAATGTAGAGATGTACAAAAATTAAAATACTCTAACATGAGATTTTTCAAGAAATATTTTGACATTATCTTTTAAAAAATGTGTAACATTATTAAAGTCACAGGATTTGGATTTATGAGTAACTTTAGACGAAGAATTGAAAAGACATAGTTAAATTGAAAAATAAACTTTGATCATATTATGCACTTTCTTAGTGTTCTCATAAAATGTTTCTAATGATAAATATTAAATATATTTCTACGTTAAGAATACTTCTACATAAATCTTGATTCTATTAAAGAATGAAAGTATAGAGCAGGACATTGATTTTAATAAACTAAACTTTATTTATATTAAAACTGTACACTTTTCAAATTTAATAAAACATGACGTTAGATTTAATATTAACAGATTATATTGAGTTTTGCGAATTGAAATTAGACGGCGTATTTTTATGGCTTGCCTATATTTAAATTAAATTATTCTTGTTTTAATTTACATTGACGATATCGTATTAGGTTTAAAATCGATTACACGATTGTTTGTTGATGATGTTTTATTGCATGCCTCAAGTACTTCTATACAGTATATTACTTCAACTTTAAATGCTGATTTGCAAAAAGTATTTGAGTGGTCTAAATCCCGGCAAAGAGAATTAAGCATAAAAAAATGTGAATCTATGACATTTAGTAGAACTGTTATTGATACTTCTCATTATCCTTTGATAATTAATGGTGCTTTATTGTTTAATGTAAAGTGTCATAAACATCTAGGTCTTTTTCTCAGTCCACAGCTCAACTGGAAATATCATATAGATTATGTAATTAGTAAATGTAATAAAATACTGTATTTAATGTGTCAACACAAAAATAAGCTTCAGACTACAGTTTTAGATCAAATTTATAAATGTTATGCATATTCTGTTCTTTTATATGGTTCGATTGTTTATTCAGCTACTAGTACGAAAAACTTAGCGTTACAGTACAATACAAATTTGCATTAGTTGTGAGCGATTACCTGCACCTTACTAATAGGCAAAAAGTTTTTCGATGTTTAGGATGGCAAGACATTTTAGATACGTTTAAATATCATAAGATTGTTCTTATCTTTAAGATAGTTAGAGGATAAGTATCAAACTTTCTAACAAGTAAAATCTGTTTAAGAAATGATCATACCCATTACACAACTAGATCTCAAACAAGCAACATACTCGAAGCTAATTGGCAGAGTACTAAACGTTTTTATAGTAAAGGGTTTGAACAGACTTTTTCCCGTTAGCGATTAAAAGTTGGAATAAGTTAGAAGAAGAACTTCGTACATGTCTGAGTTTAAGGACGTTTAAAGAAAAGTTTAAGATTAAATTAGGTATACTAAAAGGTTTTCGGGTATATGGAGTCAATCGAATTTATGACAAAATATACTTCCAACTCAGATGTGACTTTTCTCAATTGAATAGTGATTTATATGCAAAAAAACTAGTATCGCACAAAAATTGTGCTTGTGGTTAAATCGAAACTGTAGAGCACTTTTTACTAAATTGTTCCCTCTACAATCATCAGCGTGCTAATTTATCCAGGACTATTGGCGATCTGATACTTAGCGTGGATTTCTCTCTGAAAACTATTTTACTTTTAAGTAATGAATTTTCATACGATAACTATTGTATTATATATCGTGCTGTACTTTAATATATTGAAAATAGTGGTAGGTTTGAGATATAATTAATTACTTATAAGTATGCGTTTGGTTTATTTAACTCTCGCTCTCCAGTGCTACATGCCGCTTTACAATTATTTAGTATGTTAACTTACCTATTAACTTTCTTTTTATGTCTGCAGGTATCTTTTTGTGTCTGCAGCGCATTTTTGTTTTTTTTCTTTTTTTATAGTAGCTCATTCTGAGAGATTAGGTGCAATGACTCTTGTCGATTCCAATCTACCAGAAGCACTATGTTTGTATTTTTCTTATTCTCAATAAAGTTTAAACTAAACTAAATTAAATCATGCTTAGATATGAGAGAACTTGATCGCTGTTATATTATGCTTTCAAAAGACATGTGAGAATGTTAGTCGATCACAAAACTATTTTTAAATCTATTGATTTATATAAACTACTACCTTACTATCATCTATTTGTAAATTTTTATATGAAATCAAAAACATTATTAAAGATAAAACCATGATTTTTACCAATTTGTTCTGTATTATGTTACACTTTTATCGTCCACGTTGTTTGTTTTTGATCTTTTTGAAATAAAAGCAAGAAGAAAAAATATGAAAGAAAACCTTGATATTTTTAAGTTGATGTTGGAAGTGGAATGACAACATCACAAGATGAGGTAAGTAAAAAGAGGCGCATCAAAAGTTTCAAATACAGAATATATAAATAACGAACAGACAACAACAAAGGTTGGATAGTCCTATTGCCATCACTGATGGTGTCAATAAGGAGCTATTGACATCACTCACTATCGAGCAAAATCAAAGAGTAGGTAGTGTCAACTACGGTCATTGACACCATAAACAGTAGTTGGTGTCACTAATCAATAGGTTGGATGGCAATATCGACTGATGATGTGCTGTGGTCATGTGTGTGTGTTTGTTGATGTATACTTCAGTTGAGTTTTGAAATTTTTATTAGGAAGCACAGAGAAGAGAAGACTAGTATGAAAATGCTAAAGCGCTTTCGAATTTCTTCATCAGTAGCAAAGACAAAGAGTAGCCCGGATGATACAGTATCTCACGTTAAAATAAGAGCTTTTAAACTCTTTTCGTTCAGGAGAAAATTGAAAAATACTCCTAACTGTTTGATGTTCAACTTCACGAGACGACTTCATTTTGAATCTTCGTCAGACTTTTTAAAGTATTTCAGCCACAATATCGCCACAATCAAACGAAACATAGCTTTTCTACAGATGAATATTTCTATAATTTATGAAAACATGAAACAAGGTAGAGATATAAAACATTCTTTCCATTTTCTCGCATACGAAGATGTATCTCGTACGCAGAATTCTGTATGTAACATTAGAAAATGGCTAAACACTAAAGTTCTATTATACAGGGGTCAAAGAACGGTCAACAGCAGCATAAAGCAGTATAGAGCTCCTGACTTCTTGTGTATGTTTTATTTGTTTGCTACTAATGAACAAATTCGACAGCGCTTTCACATACAGTGATTGTACTTGATAGTGGATGATGTCAATAGCTCGTTGTTGGCACCAATTTTATTCCAAATATTTGTTTAGGATTATGTCCTAAGTAGCGCATTACTAGTTTCACCATCTGAAAATGTTGTCACACTCGATGAAGTCATTCAACATTGTGGTTCACTAAATCGTTTTCAGTACTTCCATTACTTCTTTCTCAATCTAATTCCAATAACATCTGGTATTATTGCTTTCTACTACGTATATGGTGTTGCAGAGCCTTTGCATCGTTGCCATTTACCAGACACTATTTGGTTAAACGACCAATATCATCCATTCAACTCGACTCATCAATATTTAATTGATTTATGGATACCAACTCAAGACAAATGTACCATTCGTAAACCGTTATCCAGTAATTTATCTCAGCCAAGTAACGAAACAATCGCTTGCATAAAATGGGTTTATGATCGAACAGTATTTGGACGTACATTTACAGAAGATGCCAATTTCGTTTGTCTTAATAGTGTAAAACGAAGTTTTTTATCATCAGCATTACAAATGGGCGCAATGTTTGTGTTGTTCACCGGACAACTAGGTGATAAAATTGGACGAAGAAAATCGATACAAATCATTAGTATTATTCTGTTAACAACATGTGTCGTAACACAAATTCTTCTACAATTTGTTCCAATGACAATAAATACAAAGTCTGTACATGAATACATATTTACTCGTAACAAAAAATCATCATTCTTTCTTTAGATTTGGATTATTACTATTAAATCAGTTTGTATCAGGTATTGATTCTTATATGATCGTCTTTGTTTTACTCATGGAATTGACCAATTCGACACATACAAGTTTTGCTGGTAATCTTGCTTTGGTTACGTTTACATTAGGCGAAATAATCGTCACATTATTTGCTTATTTATGCAAAAGCTGGTTACTGTTAAAATGGGCTGTTACTTTCTTTATTCTGCTTATCGTCCCCTATCTATATTTTATTCCAGAATCTCCCTACTGGTTATATTCAAAACAGAAATACGATCAGTTAGAGATACAACTACGACAAATAGCTGAGGAAAATCGCCAACAAGAATCTAACTGGTTCCCGTATTATCAAAAGCTCCTAAAAAATCCAGCAGATAATTTGCAATCAGAAATGTCTCGTGGACACAAGATAAAACGTCTGATGACACATAGTCCAATAATGTCCAAATTATTGATATCCGGCGCCATTGGATTCACAGCAATGTTGTTATACATCAAAATCTCGTATGGTCTAGCTGCGATGGAAAATGTCAATCCTTATCTAAACATCATTATCGGGGCTATTGTAGAAAGTATTGGATATTTATCTGCCTGGGTATTAATGACAAAAATTGGTCGTAAACGCTCACTTCTTTTCTATATACTGTTGACTACAGTCTGCGTATTAATGATCCCGTCAACTATAAAATATAATCCAGTGATCACTGTTAGTATCGCTCAGTTAGGGAAATTAGCGATTAGCGGTGCTGTTTGTGTGTCGTATATTTATGTGCCAGAACTGTTTCCCACAACAATTCGTTCAGGTGCATCGGGTTTCTTTGCGTGTATTGGAAGAATTGGGGCCATTATTGCACCTCTAATCGATACATCCTTGAAGGAAAAAGATTTACACATCACATTCTACATTTATGCTTTATTAGCAATCATCATACTCGGTCTAACGTTTGTTCTACCAGAAACAAAAAATCAACCATTTCAAGATAAAATCGATTATACAAAGAAAAAGTTGAAGAAAACGACCACAAACAACACGAATTAGTTAATTTTTTGAAATTTTTAATTGATTTTCTCGTTAATAAAAATCAGATTTTTGTTCTCTGTCATAAATAAATGGCAACCGGTCTATGTCGGTCAAAATCAATATTTTGTATCGAATTAGTAGTATTGAGTAAGTCAAGCTTTCTGTCTAGCTGTGAATAATTCCACAATTCCAAAAATGACGTTTGCATTTTCTTTTGGCTTTTAGTCCATACTATGACTACATTACCTTTGACAAACAACATTACGTTCAAAAATCATGCTGTCCAGTACTGAACAAAATACTTAGTATGTACTAAGGCGCTCTTTAGAATCCCCAGGAAACCAGTCTTTCACGACAAAGTAAATAGTTTGAAAATAATATCGTTCACGCTATACATCAAAGTATGTGTACTATTTTCTTTTGATATAGGTTAATCATTATTGAATGAATAATACATTTAGTTCTTCATAAAAGTTACAAAAAAACCGAATATCAAGAAAACGCAGCGTGATTTAGACGGAGCTTTGAGTAAACGGGAAGAAAAAGAAGAGTTTTGGAGTGTTCCATGATGATTTTATTCAAAAGAATCGAGAGTTCACATTCACCGACAGTTGCTTAATTATTCAACCATTATAGAATTCAACTAAAATCGTGTGTGAGTATCATTGTCTTCTAGAACTGTTTTACATGAAGTATTTTTTTGAAAGCACAAGTGCTCAAGACAGACAGGTATCTCAATGTCAAAACTGCTATACATAGAGATTTTTTGCGATATTTTTCTTTTAGTACATTTCTTTTAATTGAGATGATAGTAAACGGAGTATTTTTTTGTTACTCTAGCTTCGTTGTTCTTGAATATCTCCAAAACGAAAACGGCTAGAGAGTACTGGATTTCGCCATTTGTAGAGAAAGCCTCACATGTATCAAAATCTCCATCAATTCATTCATCATACAACAGAACAGTTACAACAACCGTAACCGTTTTATTGTGTAAATTCAGACTAGATATTAGTGATGAGTAGGTCTCAGTCTTCCCATGAATACAGGGGTTGGACACAGAGAGAATCGTTGCTTATTTTTCAATAAATTTGTTTTGTTGTTATTATTGGTGGTTTTATTTGTTTAGTTGAATTGAATAATATGAAATCATTTACAAAAATTAAAAATTTAGTGTTAATAATAAATCCAAAAGCTTTGCTAGTAGACGATATAAAAAGAAATATTATTAGTAATGATATGGCTTATTTAGTAAAATGCTTCCTTTCGATATTCCCCAAGGAAGCATTTTAGGCCCGCTGTTCTTCTTGGTCTATATAGATGGTATTGGTAATAATTTATCAAGCAGGATACATATGTTTGCTGATGATACTCTATTATATTGTAGTGATCCAGACCCACAAGTTGTAAACGCAACTCTAAATGATGATTTGATTAAGATTTATCAGTGGTCCTTAAGATGGCTCTTACCTTTAAATCTTCCAAAATGTGTAACGATGAGTTTTTCTATCAGACTATCTGTAAGGTCATTAATGTTAGGAGGTTATACCTTGGATCTCGTTCAGGAACATAAACACTTAGGCTTGTGGTTCTCCTCATCGCTTTCTTGGAGTAAACATATTTCTTTTATCATCAGAAAATGTAACTTAATTCCAGGAGCTATAAGCAAATTTAAGTGCATTTTTTTAACGCCGGTTCTTGATCAATTATATAAATCGTTTATATATTCATTATTGACATATAGCAGTGTTATCTACTCAGGTTGAACCTGAGCTAGTATTGAAACCGCTTTTCCAGCTTCAGTATCGTGCAGCTCTGCTGGTTTCTGGATCCATGTACTTATCAAGTAGAGAAAAAGTTTTAGATATACTAGACTAGCCTGATCTGAAGATAACGTTTGACATGAATAAGCTTATTCTGTTCAGAGACATACATTTGCGCGCATATATTAAAAAAAACGATTCAGTTCTTTATTCGCTTCGCAACCGACCTGAGTTGAAACAGCTGCACTTAAAGTCTGTACGTGCAGAAAAATCTTTTTTCCCTTATACAACTTCTATGTGGAATTCATTACCCGATAAAGCTGAATTGCTTCAAAAAACAGAAAGTTAAGACTGAACTGAGAATCTATTATAATATTAATATATTTCATTATCGAATGTATGGTATTGATCGAATAGCAGATATCTCCCTCAATCGTTTGCGTGTGGATTTTCTACCACTAAATGCAAACTTGTATACTAAAAAACTTAGTCTCACTAATCTTTGTACCTGTGGTGATATTGAAAGTGTTGATCATTATCTGCTACATTGTGTGTTGTATCGATCGTAACGAAATAATCTTGAACAGAAATTCTCTTGCTTAAAATTCTCCTCTCAAAGGAACAGTATTTGATAGTGTACCGTAGTGTTATTGAATATATTCATTCAACTAAAAGGTTTATGATGTGAAATTTGGTCTGCATCTCTTAGCACACTCGATCCTCGTCTTCCTTTCTTCTCCTTTTATGTCTTTTTTCCTTTCTGTTTCTTATCTTTATTATGTATTTGCATTCTTTCTCTGCTATTTTCCTTAGTATTTTTTTCATTTTTATTGGCTAGGCAGGAGGATAATAATGGGACCTGGCTCTCCTTTGACCTGTCTTGGTTATAACTATTTGTTTCATCAATAAATAAATAAAGTTTAAAAAAAAATGATATGGCTGTGATCAAAATGACCATGTTTTATTAAGCGAGACTTTCTGAGTAAGTGGTTCATGTAAGAGAAGTAGAACATTTCAAATGTTTTTATACTCAACGTCGTACATTTCGATGCACTAACAAAAATGTGAAAGTATTCCGTCTTGATTACTTATACTTCATGTACATTGGATGATCTTAAAATTTTAGTCGTACAATTGATTGTGCGCTAGAGTCATAAATAGACATGTCTCTTTTTCAAGAAAGATCATGCATCAAAATGCATTTTTCCTTTGAACGCCTGTAAATGACCGAAAAGTCATCATCGTCTTGTTTTGAATGGAATCTACGCGCCAAGATTTGTTATTTACACGATGTAGCCTAATTTTCCTTTGAGCGAACTGACGTTGCTTTCCTGCATCGATATATCATGTCTGTAAGAAGGAGCATCTGTGTGTAACAGCATAGATTTACTACTAATAAAATCACCAAAATCGCGACCCTTCAGCTTTTCTGTATTGAAAACTATAAAACTGAAATTTTTGTACCAGTCGCAGCCTTGTAAGACCTGCACGAGCGACAAAAACTTCAAAATAGTGTCCCAGCAGAAAAGTACAGTTTTGGGCTTTTTCTAGCGTATATCAGCTATTTTGTTTCACTTCTCATGATCCTTAGCCTATATCAAACTCAATTAATCAAACTTATATACAGAAATAAAAAATTTGACCGAATAATTACTCTATGAAAATAAACTATTCAGGGGAAGATAGACAGATGCATCACTAATACCTAGTCTGAATTTACACAATAAAACGGCTACGGTTGTTGTAACTGTTCTTTTTTTTTTACATAGTAGACGTTAGTTTCTATTTGACAAAACGAGCGTATTTTGTGCAGTTTTTCTCGCTCTTTTGACTCATGTGTACTGCAGAATTTTAAACCAAATAGGAAAGAAAACGAAATCCAAAACAGTCATTTTTTATAAATAAAAGCTATATTAATAGATTTTTGTAATGCTTCGTGTAAAAAATTCATATTTTCATGAGGAAACGTTTTCAAGATTAATAAACTTAAACGCCTTTACGGTTTTGTGTGAAGAATCGAATGAAAACTAAAAGATCTTTTTTGATGAAAATACCAATTTTTTATGCAAAGCATTACAAAAAGCTATCGAAAAAATAGAAATAAATGACTATTTTGTAGTTCGTTGTTTTTTCTCCGTTCTTTGGTTTAAAATTCTGCCGTACATATGAGTCAAAAGAGCGAGAAAAACTGCACAACATACGCTCGTTTTGTCAAATTAAAACTAAAGTCTACTATGTAAAAAATTAAAAAAATCAAACTGTATAATCAATTTTTTTGAACAGAGAAAGTCGTCCATCTTACACATCCTAACCTAGCACAATGACTATATGACATGAACACGTTCTATTTTAATCAAATAAACTACAATACAAACGCTCAATTTTGTTGACCACTGTATATATGAAAGATAAATATTTAAGATATTTATCTTAGATAAATCATCCGGATAATTTTGTCCTTTATCATCTTTTAGAATAAATATTTGCAGATCTTGTCCGTTTAAAAAAAGAGTTTACCAGTTTCCACCAGTACTTTTTCGATGCATTTGTTTGTGTCATACGTTCTAAGTATTTTTCTTTCTCTTTCCGAATTCGCTATTCCACTCTTTTGTATCTCTGAACGCCTGAGAGTGAAGAATTTTTTTAAATTTTCTGTACAGACAGTTTTTTCCTATCATCAGGTCGCCAACCATGAAAAATACGTTTAGAAAATGACCTTATCGGAATTGCTGGAGATTAAAAATATTGAACGGATTAAAGCGTAGCAGCTGTTACTAGTCTTGAAAAATGTTTTTTATTCTTTTTTAACACTCCTTTTATCTTAAAATCAAGCACGTTGTAAGT